ACTAGAATGTTTTTCTCATTTGTCCTCAAAATGACATGTTAATATGACATAGAGCATTCTAACTTTTAAAAGTCTCACAGTCTTTAAAAATTCAAACACTTTTAAAAGTCCTGTCTCTTTAAAACATTCAAAGTTCAGACCTCCCTAAAACATTCAGTTTCCCTAAAACCCTTAAATCTCTCTAGAACTCCGGTCTCTGAAGGAGACCTCTGAACAGTGGGGGCCCCCTCCTGAACCTCGATTAGGCACTAACCACACCCAAATACCTGTTTTCACAGAGACCCTTTATTATGTAGGGAAGAAAAGTTAAAGTGACTTCTTTCTGACTCAGGCAGAAAACAGTAGCAGATGACCTTGCAAGTGTCATTCTTAAGAGGAGAAAAGGGAGGTCTGTGTTAGAATGGGCTAGGATGCTGTGGTAAACGAGATAGAGGATGAGGGAGAAGAGGAAGGGGACAAGGGAAGGGAACAGGGGACTGGATAGAGAGGAGACAGACACGGAAAATGGCAGTTTATAAAGGTAAAGGAGGAAGCCCTATGTTAGGATGAGATGTTAATTAGGCATGTTAATTAGGTAAGCCTAAAGAGGGCTTCTGATTGCTGGAACTTGGTAGGCAGAAGTGGCCAAACAATGGAATAGACCTTGGTGGCTAACTTTAAAAATGTAATCTAATGGTTTTTAGCAAGGCAGAGGGAATGGAGGAGAAGGGTAAGGCCTGTCAGAGCCACCTGCTCAAGTGGGCCAGTGTCTCTAAAAATTCAGTCTCTTAACTGTGAGTTCCTCTAAAATAAAAAATAAGTTGCATACTTGAAGGAAGAATCAAGGCACATTCACAATCAAAATAAAGCAAAACTAAATTCCAACAGTGGAAATCATTGAGTATCCACTATCTGGGATTCACTCATCATCTTTTGGCCTCGAAAGAACAGTTACACTCCTGGTTTTGCCATTAAAAACACACACACAGCTTGTCTTGTAGTCCCAGCCTATTGTTCCACACAGTGCTGCTTTGCTTTTCAGTGCCACCAGTCAACGGGGAACCTGGGGGAGGCAGTTAAGAATGGGGAGACAAGAGACACGAGTGACGGACACAAGACAGTATTCTGATCAAGTCTCGTTTATTGAAAGTACCAACAGGGCTTAAGTAGGGCATGTAGCAGAAGAGCGGGAGGGCCGAAGTTCTCCTTGGCAGAGTATGTTCCAAGAACACAAGTCTGTAGCTGGGGGAGTCTGGACTGCAGGCCAGGAGGCAGAAGTGTGGGAGAGCCTGGATTGCAGGCCTTGAAAATATGCTGTACAGGAAGATAAGCAGACACGGAGAAACAGAAACCTACCTGTTAGTCTCTAAGAATACAGTAGTAATATTTAAATGGTTTCTATTATGCTGTCCTTATTTAGGGCCCTCTACACTACTGTAGTCTCCAAAATGCCACAATCTCCTGCTGCAACTAGGCTGTATTTTCATCAGTAGCCTCTTCTGGGCTCTCTTAGGGACTTTCACCCTGCCATGTGGTGCCAAGCTTCAACTTCTATGACCCTCTCAATCCTGGGTCTTTTACTGCATCTGAGGCTGTCCCATCACCACAGGCCTCTCCCATCCCATCTTTGGGGACTCCAGCCATACCACACAGTGCCAAGCCTTACTTAGCTGCTCTCTGTGACCCTTTGATGCCTTCAAAACTAGCACCACCTGGGCGACCCTGCCACAACCAATTCTGCTGGCAGCATGAGATGAGGTGGAGGGGAACCACAGTTTCTGTGTGCCGACCCCAAGGATACACTCCCAGATTTCCCCTAAGCAATACTGCTCTCTTCTCATCACAGCTGATTCTTCAGCCCCAGCTGACTGAAGCTGTAGATCCTTAATTCAAAGTATCTCATAAACGGCACCCGGGGTCTGTAAGGGGCTCTTACACTTCCATTTGGAATTTCATGTCAGGCCTTCATTGTCTGTGTTTCTTTCAACATTCTCATCTTCCAAGCTCCCACTTCCAGAGCAGCCTACTGAGTTTTGAGTACTCAATAGCTTTTCCAGTCCAAAGTTCACCTGCTACCACAATCCTCCAAACACTCTTGGTCAGGTCTGTCACAGCTGTACCCCCTCTTGGTACCAATTTCTTTTTTAGTTTGGGAATCTATTTCTGTGGTAAAACACCGTGGAGAAGTAAAGGTTTATTTTTCCTTACAGTTTGAGGGGACAGTCCATCAGTGATGGGAGTTGGGACAGGAACTCAAGCAGTGCAGGATCCTGAAGGCAGGGATTGACCATGAAAGACTCCTGTTTACCGTCTTGCTCATAATGGCTTGTTCAGTCTGATTTCTTGATGGCACCCAGCGCCACCATCCTAGGGATGGCACCGCTCACAATGGGCTAATTCAAAAAATGCTTTCCTATGGACTAATCTGGTCTGGACATTTTTTAAAATTGATACTCCCTGTTCCCAAATGACACTAGCTCCTTAAACACATGTAGACTTCAGGAAGATACAATGAAAATCTTATGAATCAATAAATAAATTTTATAAATAAGATTATTTGAATTTTATACCTTTCTGCTTTGTTCTGATCAGCCTTTCCTTCCTTCCATTCTCCTCTTCCTCTCTCCTTTCTTCTCTCTTCTCTTACTCCCTCCTATCCTTTTCCTCTCTTTGCTTCCCTCCTTCTCCGTTTCTCTCCCTCCCTCCACTGTCCTAGGGATTGAACTGAAGACCTTGTGTTGGCTAAATGTTTTACCTTTTACTAAATATGTTTTTAAAAGGATTCTTCCTGTTTGTTTGCATGAAAATAAAAAGTAAACAGATACCTCCTTCTTTGGTGCTTTTTTTTGTGTTAAAGAAAAATCACTTAACAGTAATTTTAATATAGTTAGTAGTAAGTGCAATGGCATTTAAAACCTAATATTTTAGCCTGAAACCATGGTTAATCAATACTATCTTTTAAGTCACCTGCCACTGAGTTCAGTTTTGCATATTCAGCTTCTACCCATATGCTCTTACATCCTTTACCTAATTGTAGTGGAAGTTCATGTTTGTCTTTGCATGAATCTGTATGTTTTATATGTGTTTATATGTATTTGTGTGTATTCATTGTGTCGTGTGCATGTGTGTATGTGAAGGCCAAAGGTTGACATCAGGTGTCTTCCTTGGCCACTCTTCACCTTAATTTTTGAGACTGATTCTCTCATTGAAGTTGGAGCTCATGGCTTTAGCTAAAATGGCTGGCCGTCAGCTCTGAGGATCTGGCTGCCACCACCACACCAGCCCTGGGATTACGTAAGTACAAACAATGCCACACCCATCTTTTTACCTGATTTCTTGAGGATCTCATGCCAGGTTCTCATGTTTATGTGGCAACTACATTACCTACTGAGACTTTACCCCGATAATTGCATGTAATGTAACAGATTACCTCTACTGGTTGAGAAGATATAAGTAAAAACAAAAACATTATTTTTTCATAGTCTTTTCCCCTAAGCAACACTCTTTAGTCTACTCATTCATGCTTAAAAAGTTGTGATCATTTGCGTCTTCTGTTTCTTTCTTAGTAGATGAACTTCACTGGGAATGCATAGTTTCCCAAAATTTAATACCTGCTAATCAGCAGTGGCCTCATTGTTCTTTCTCAACTGACAAGCTTTCCTTACATTTGTATGTATCCTCAGCTATGGCAGTGGACAGAACTAGTCTCTTGTTTCCTGCACAGCTGGAGGACAGTTGTTCTGATGATCAGTCTATGTTTGCAAAGGTCTCCATTCTTTACTATGGAGCCATGCCAGTTGGTATCGTTATTAAGACCCTTTAGAAAATATCTTCACTCAGAGCATATTTTTCAAATTTCTATTTGTTTGCTTGAGGGGAGTAGCTGGCATGTCATACTGCCTCCTGTGGAGGTCAAAGGGCAACTAATAGATTTTTCCTTTCGCTATTCCATAGATCAAACTCAGGTTGTTAAGCTTAATGACAAGCACCCTTACCTGCTGAGACATCTCTCAGCTCTGTCTGGCTTTAAATTAACATATTGGACATAGTAATTTTATGATCATAAATTATTTAATTTTATTTAAAAATATACTTTTAATGTATGTCAACATGATTCATCTAACCTTGGTAAATGGTAAGATAATTTTTGTACTGTTTTTTTAAACTATGTGTTATGTATTATCTGAGTCTAGAGATGAGTTAATTATGACTGAGATGTTATGATTTCTGAGTGCTTTTAGCAAGAATGGAGATAGTACTTAGGCTGATGGCTGATGGTTTGGGTGTCTTCCTTTCACATAGTAGCTGAGAAAGTGTATACTCAAGAGCTCAATTTTCTGTACTCACTTTGTGGCAAATCATCATGATTATTGTGTATTCTGTAGCTTTTGAGCAGCATGCTCTTCTGATGCCTTGGAATAGTTTCCATGACTGAGAAACAAGTGAGTTTTTCTTACATTTAAGATAGTAATGCAAGTGAACAGTAAGTCTAAAATGCCAGTGTGAAACATAGCTGAATATAGAGTGAATGGCTCTGGGGTGTGTGAGCTACTGGAACATAGCTGAATAGCTTTGGGATGTGGGATCCTTATCTTTACTGCTTGAGGGTTTTGAAGTATGACCATTCCACAGATATTGTGTACTGAGTATTAGCGTAAGTAATGTGGTTTAGACTTAAAAACCCATAGTAAAGTCTTTTTCTCATTGATAGAAATCATTGGGCTTCTGACCACTCCATGAGTGTTAGGGGTACTGGGTTGCAAGGCCTGGTTGGTGTATGCACCACATTGTTGGATGGAATGGTTTCTTTGAGGTAGGGGCAACATGTAAGGCTCTTCTCTGCTTGTTAAGACTCTTCTCTGCTCTTTTCTTGCTGAAATTTTTACCGGGAATAAATAGAGTAGGTCAGAAATGAACTGAAAACTATATTGTTGGTTATTGCAACATCATTTATTTAGAAAATTTCATCGTTTATCTGGGTGAAAATTACTTAATTTGATGAGTTTTCATTTTTCTTTTAGGCTCTGTTTATGAACCTCTTAAAAGCATTAATCTTCCAAGACCTGATAATGAAACTCTGTGGGATAAATTGGATCATTATTACAGAATTGGTAAGCACCATCTGAGGAATCATAGTACTTATGACTAGTACTCACTATTCTATAGTTATATGTCGTGTATTATGTTGAAGTATTACTCTACAATTTGGAGATGGGGTATTTTCACTGCTAAAGGAGCGATATATTCCAGTATTTTCTTTTGCGCTATTGGGACCAGTTCTTTACCATGACAACGATAATTAATGTTCTGGGGAAGATTTGTTTAGTCTGAGAAAACAGTACTGAGTGCTGTGGCCCAGCTTGAGCTCAGCATCCAGGAGGTGGAGATAGGAAGATTATTAATTTGAAACTAGCAACATAGTAAACCTGTGTCTTAGGAACATATAAGCAAACCACAGCAAAAACAAGGAGGTGTTAATGTCAGAGCTGGAGAAAGGCAGCTGTGTGGAAAACTTTCTCCCAAGCACAACATGTCTATTGCACTCTTAAAAGATCTCTGTAAGATTGAGCCTAATAACGCCATTATGGAGTGGAGGGGCCTGATGGGATTTATACTTAGTTGATAGGGTGAGGGAAAGACATTTTCTCCAGTCATATATTCACTGGTAAGGTGCCAAGGCTCCTGTAAGCAACTGTAATGAAAATCTTTGGACCACCAAAGGAGTGAGGGAGGCATTAAGCAAGAGGAGGCTAGTTAGGAAAAGATAATGGTGAATATGATCAAAATACAGTGTCTATATACATCAAAAATGTCATAATGAGCCCATTATATATAACTAACATATGCCATCACATTCTTTAAATGAAAAGAGATGGAAATAGGAAAAAGTTGTCGATTACATTGATTTAGTGTATTTTGGGGGAAAGCAGTGTTATTTATACAGAACACTGGACAGAAATATAGTTTCCTTTAGGAAATATAAAAAACGTCCTGTCGGGTATCTGTTTTCCTAGTTTGCAACTCTGTCAAACAGAGGAAAGAACTGATTTGAGACCCTTGCTATATCCACAGCTGTCCTTGCTATATAAAAAAAATGAAATTTTACTTTGGAAATTTAAAAAGATCCCTAACCTGTACAGTTCAGTAAGTAAACTAACACTTTGGTAAACACTAGTCATCAGTGAAATACAGGCCTCTGACCTGTTTTGTGGTCTTCCTTCTTCCTCCATAAATTGTGGATTATTTACTTTTCATAATCCAGAACTGGTTTTTTACTTAGGAAGTCAATGATATCATGTATTGTATATTTGCTTTAAGTTTTCTTACTTAATTGGGTTTGACAAAAGTATTATAGTCATATTTTTTTGGTTAATCTTTTGTGGTTAATATTTTCTCCCTTGTGCCTGATGTTATTTTAATAAGATTTGCACCATTTATTGACATCAACCAGCATAATTACAAGCTTTTAATGCTCTAATTAGTTGAGTGCTTTCTTCAAAACTATAAAGACACCTTCATGCAATGTGGGTTTCCACTTGGCCAGGGTGACATTCTTGAAAATTTTATGCTAAAGCTCAGTTTAGTTTAGAAACGACAAAACTTTCAAAAAATAGAATGGGCTGATTGTACATTCATTCATTCATTCTTTTTTTTTTTTTTTTGTAGTCAAGTCAACAATGCTGATGTATCAAAGTCCAACTACCGGTCTCTTTCCTACTAAAACATGTGGTGGAGATCAGAAGTCCAAAGTCCATGAGAGCCTGTACTGTGCTGCCGGCGCCTGGGCTTTGGCTCTAGCATACAGGTGAGCTATGATTATTCTAGTAGCTCCAGTAAACTAGTTTTATAGAACGAAGATAATTAAAAGAGTATTATAAAACATATTTTGGAGATCATTTGATAAATTTGAATATAGACTGTATTATACAATACATCAACTCTTAATTGTCTTGAGTGTAATTAATGGTGTTCATAGTTATGTAAGAGACTACCTTTTTTTTCTAGAGATACTTCTGATGTTTGTAACTTTCAAATAATAAAGAAAAATTATTACTTAGATATGAAATACAAGACAAGATAATGTTAATAGCTGGTGAATCTAAGCAAAGACTAAGTGGTTTACTTATTGTAGTATTCTTTTAACTTTTTTGCACATTTGAAAGTTTTGAAACAACACAGGAGCAGAAAATTGTTTTAAAAGAATATACTCAACAGAGGGGCTGAAGTCAGACAGCATCCTTTCCCAAAGACCTCAGAAGAGAATTTGGTATTACTTTGCTGGGCACATTATCTATGCAGAATTAGTGGTTGATGCCGCTCACCAATCTGCCTTGTATCAGGGAAGAAACAGTATGTATACTTTACTGGCTACATTAAATAAGCTGAAAGATGTGACAATAGTGAAGAATTTACGTTTCTGATGTTAGCCCCCTGAGTACGTAAGAGCTACAGAAACAGACTTTAGTATACTGTATTGAAGGAGGCATGGATGATTTTTATCAAGCAGCAGTGAGCTGCAGTTATTTAAGTGAACCAATGAGCATGCCATTCTTATTTTTTTTTTTTTTTAGCTGTGGTTATTTCTTCTACCTTTTAAGGTCATTCATAATGAAAATACTTTTTTTTTTTTTTTGCCCAGAAAGAACATCTTCATCTAGTTTAATGATTAGATTTTAGCAATTTTTTTTAAGCAAGAGAAGTAAAACATGGTCAATTGACTTTTAAACGAAAACCTGAGAATCTGAAACTTGATGCAAGAATATACCTTATGTGTCATTTGGGTGCATGCTTAGGCGAGGGCCTCTTTAAGGGCTAAGGTGCTCCCTGGAGCACAGCAAAGAATGCTTATGCCTACCTTAATTTCTGCTTCTTTGAATCTAATCGGGAGTTAAATATCATAAAGAGATAGCATGTTGGCATTTTGTAACAGTGAATTTAAAATAATTGTGGTTAATCTTTTTTCTAATGTAGAAATAAGCTTCCAATTTTAGCTAAATCATTAAAAAATTTCCTTTTAAAAAGAATTGACTCCCAAAATAATAATAATAAAAAAGAATTGACTCCCATAAAGCAAGAAAAACTGCACAAGTTTTACCGTGAGGGTTCTTTTTTTAATTGCATTTCTACATCTGCTGAGAAGAGGTAACTTCACTAGAAGAATTAGTAGAAGCCACCAGAACATAGGATTAGTCAGTAGTTAAATACTTAATTATCAAAAGCTCTACTCCCTTTACAAATGCAATTCCAATTTGTTTCCTGAGTTATCTCTCTCACCCAGGCGCATTGATGATGACAAGGGAAGGACCCATGAGCTGGAGCACTCTGCTATAAAATGTATGAGAGGAATTCTCTACTGCTATATGCGTCAGGCTGATAAGGTAAAGCATGGGGACTGAAATCCTCATATCGTTTAAAGGATTAATTTAACCACTACTGCAGTAGCATCTTCTGAACAATGTCTTTGGAAAAGATCAAGCCATGTCCCAGGACAGTCGTCGAGTTTAACCCAGTCTCTCCCTTCCCAACCCAAGCCTTTGAAATCCTGAAACTGAGGTAGCACCTTCAGTGAGAGATGATTGAAAATTACTATTTAGACTTCAATTTGTATTCCTGATTTGTTTTTTTCTACGATAAAGATCCAGATTCTCAGGAAGCTAACAAATATGAATAGTTCTAAACATCTTATTATTTAAAGAATATCCTTGTCAAAATGCATTTTGGATGTGTGAATTGTTGTGGCAAAGGGGAATTTTAAAAGTATAATATCTCATTCATTTACATGCAAAGAGGCCAGGAATTCCAGCTTTAGCAAACAGAACTTTATGGTGTTATATGGGAGTGAAAGAAACAATACACCTAGCATGGTTTGTCTAAACTTTAAAGTTCTAGACAAATATAGTACACTGTTCCCTTTCCTTATCTCCTATGCCAGGCCCTAACTCCTAACACTGTGTCCACATATATCCTTCCGTGTGTCGTGGGTTCCTAAGATGATGTCAGCTGTAATGAGTCTCATAGGATACATAAGGCCATCGTTTGTGGTTCATTGCAGCGAAGGACACAGCGTGACTGAAGCAAGAGGCACCTGGTAGTGTATAGGAAGCAAGGCATCAGCTTCCCAGGGCAGCACATGTTAGGTGCTCCATCTTTTTTTCCTCCTCAAGATTTTTATTAGCGTTGGTACCCTCTGTCTAACTCCCAAATTCCAGACTCCCAAGAGAAAATGTATTGTAGCCTAAACCACATCAATTTTAGACATGCAAGCCACTCATAGGAGAGAATAGTAGAAGCCTTCCAAAATACAAGTTACCTCACCAGGGCCAACGGTGGCACTTGTAAACATCCTTTTCCGAGGCTGTTGGGTGCAGGGTTACTGTGCCAACTCTTTCAGGACAGTCGCCAGGTTAGTGCACTGACCTCTAATCTTACCAGTTGTGTCACTTTAGATGAGTTGTCTTCCACATGCTTCTGGTTTTTTGTTTTGTTTTGTTTTTTATCTGTAACATATGAATCCCAGCAATACCTGCTTCATACAGTTTCTATGAGGAGAATGAAATTGAATATAAAAAGTACTTGAGGTACTGGTCCTCCAAGTGTCAATGCTTCCCCTCTGCTATTAGACTGCACCCTTCAGATGTGTTTCAGTTTCTTCATTTGAGGAAAGATGTGATCTCTTAGTGTTTTGTATGCCATAATCATATGAATATATCATTTTAGCTCTTTTCTAGTGGTGATCCCATGACTCCTTATACCTACTCTAGTTATGGGCTGTTAACAATTAGCAAATCCAGCCATGATGATCTTTTGTAATCTAGCACAGTTTTACTCACGAAGATGGTGACTCAGAGAATAGCCCTATACAGCATTGTCTATACCACACATAGACCAGGGTTTTGAGTATTTTTATTGTCATAAACTTTCTTGACCCCTATATATTTTTGCAGTGGGGAAGTGGAATTAATTACTGTAATCTACATGGAGTGTGAGGGACTGATTCAGAGATTCCATGTTATCCCTAGAGTAATGTGTATTACCATTTGTTGTATGCTCTCTTGCTGGAGAGGTGTAAACAACAGAACAAAGTAGAGTTTTACCAGGTCCAGCTTGGCCAACCTATGAGTTTCTCATGCTTGCTTCTATGGATGAAGGGCTACTTATACAGCACAGATGACTCAAAACAGCCACACCACCAAAGAAACTGTCACTTTAGCATTTATGACCGCAAAGCTGGAATCTCCTCTTCAGTTTACCTTCCACACTGTACATGCTCTCCTGTCAGCCTAGGCCAGAGACCTCACACAGATAGGTCACGCTTAAAAACAGCTGTGCAGGAGGTGTGGATGCAGACACTGTGGTCTAAGTTGAGGGTTGATTAACCTCCTCCTTAGAGGGAAAATATGCAAGATGCATCTTTTTTGCTTTGTTTTGTTTTGTTTTTTCAAAACAGAGTTTCTCTGTGACTTTGGAACTTGTCCTGGAACTAGCTCTTGTAGACCAGACTGGTCTTGAACTCACAGAGATCTGCCTGCCTCTGCCTCCCGAGTGCTGCAATTAAATGTGTGCCACCACCACCCGACAGGATGCATCTTCTGAGTCTTTTTTTTCTTTCTTTCTTTTTTTGCTTGTTTGTTTTATGACAAGTACTCTTTGTAGCCCTAGTTGTCCTGGAACTCACTGTATAGTCTGGGCTGGCCTTGAACTCACAGAGACCTGCCTCCTCTGCCACTCAAGTGCACTACCATGCTCATCAACAGGCTGGATTTTAAGGATCTATTCCAGACAGCTTCAGCAGCTTTGATGAAGGGAGTTGTTTTAGTTTGATATATGTTTCTGTGATAAAATATCCTGACCAAAAGCAATTTGGGAGAAAAAATGGTTTATCTGGCTGTCAATTCCAATTATAGTCCATCATTTTGTGAATATCAAGGCAGGAAGTCACCTAACAAGTCACATCCCATGCCTAGTCAAGAGCGTAAGGAATAAGCACATCCTTGCTTGCCTTTCCCACACTCTATTGTTCTGTTAGTGCCATCCCCCTCTAGACTGTGGTGATACCCACAATGTGCTGAGTCTTCCTACTGCTAGAAATCAAGGCAGTTCCTACAGATATTCCCACAGGCCAACCTGAACTAGGTAATTCTTCAAAAAGACTCTGCACAAAGGTTTCTAGGGTTTTTTTCCACAATGGGAAGAGTAGGAGAAAAATAATCTAAACATCACACCTTCTATTGCTTCTCTCCATTCTGGGTGAGTCATTTTCTTCGTGAATCTATGTCAGGGTGAATATTGTGTTAGCATGTGTGTGCCCAAACACACATGTGGAGGTCAGAAGACAGCTTGCTGAAATCAGTTCTTGTTTTCCACCAATTGGGCCTCAGGCATGGATTCAGGTTGCTTGGCAACAAGCATCTTCATCTGCCTAGCTCTCACTTGCCTGTGAACGTTGTGTGTGTGTGTGTGTGTGTGTGTGTGTGTGTGTCTGTGTGTGTGTGTGTGTGTGTGTGCGCCACGGTGCCTGTGTAGAGGGCAGGAGATACTGAAAGGAGTGAGTTCTCACTTTTCGCTATGATTCAGGGTCAGGCTTGGTGGCAAGTTCATTTCTAGGCCTTTAAAAAGTGAAATTATCTTTTTACCTTTTCTTGCAACTATAGCAAACACATTTGTTTGTGTTATGCTGTTTAACCTCAAGGCTTATGTTCTTTGTCTTCCGAAGTCAAGTCTAAACTTTTCTTCTTTCGATGAGTCTCTGTGTGTGTGGAATATGCTTCCTGGCATTTTTGTAAAAACATCATCTAAAAGATATTTTACATTTATTAGGGAGTACTTGGCATTGTCCTTGATTTGTAGGATATGAAACAATATGATTTTGTGGTTTATTATCTTGTCTGGGATCATGTTTATTAATATTTTACTTCCTAACATTCCTTTTGCTCTTGTCCTGGGTAATTTTATGTCAGCTTGCCACAAGCTGGAGTCCTTTAGGAGGAGGAACTGCAATTGAGAAAGTGACCCCACCATGTTGACCTGTAGGGAAGTCTGTGGTGCATTTTCACAATTAGTGACTGATGTGGAGGACTTGACCCTTTGTGGGTGGGGCCATCCCTGGGCACCTGGATTCTGTAAGAAAGCCAGCTGATTAGATCTCAAGGAGCCAGTGAATAAGCAGCACTCCTCAGTGGCCTCTGCATCAGCTCCTGCATCCAGGTTCCTGCCCTGACTTCCCTTTGACTGATGTGATTGAAATAAACCCTCTCCCCCGCCCAAGTTGGTTTTGGTCCTCCTGTTTCATGCTAGCATAGAAACCCAGCTGAGGCAGCTTTTTTCTTACTGCCCTTGTGGAAAACACACAGAGATCTTCATGGCTGATGTGCAGTTGGTCTGGTGGGCTTTCAGTGGTTGGGCCTCATGCTTAATTTCACTTAAAACACTGCTGAGTTTCTAACCCGTGAGAAATCACTGAAATTTTGTAAGATTTGTTCTTCCAGAACATTTACAAAGATGGGATAATTATTTTCCTTAAATGTGTTTTACAGCTATAAATTAAGAATGGATGACAAACTAACTATCCCAAATAAGTTATTTACTCACAGTGGGAAAAGTTTTCAGGAAAAATGTAAAATACAAGTAAAATTAATTCTGATATAGTTTAGAAAAATGTGCTCCAATTGTTCCCTTGATCTTTACTTGGCAAATGCTAGGTGTCCTATAAAATACTAATTAATGTATCTTGTTTCTTGACTGTTTTCAAGAGTACATTTTGTTTGAAGTTGACATATAGCTTGTCTCATTAATTTTCAAAGCTTACAGAATTTGATTTTTTCTGAAATCTTAAATTACTTATCTTTTAGCAGCTTTGAAATTCAAAGCCATTATATAATTCCCCCATATGAGCATCTTTAATCATTTAGCAGTTAGTTTTCTCCTGACACTGGGGTTAGAAATAAGCCTCCCGCTGGGATCTTACATGACTTGAAGACAAATGACAAGCACCATCTTGTCACTTGCAGCAGTGACTTCATTAACCTGACAAAGCCTCATCTCATCCTGTTTGATCCCTGTTCAATAGTGTGCCTTTAGTTGTTGTCAGCCTGACACAGGCAGGATCACTTACTTGGAAGGAGGGAATCACCTCCATCAGGTTGGCCTTTGTTTAATGATGAATGTGGTAGGGTGCAGCCCACTGTGGCCAGTGTCACCCTTGGGCATGTTGTCTTTGTATATAAGAAAGCAAGTGGAACAAGCTATGGAAAACCAGCTGGTAAGCAACACTCCTTCATGGTCTCTGCTTCATGTTTTGCCTCTTGTTTCCTTCCTGTTTGAGTTCCTGTCCTGACTTCCTTCAATGATGGACTGTAACCCATAAGCTAAAAATCAGTCA